GTGGTTAGAGGCTATGTCGGTACCTCAGTGAAAAAGTAGGGGTGGAGTCCAACCTATCAAGTCAGGTCACAGCCTGACGACCCCTCCCTGGGGGTGAGGCCTTTTGCTTTTGATAAGAGAGACTGGGGACCTCTCCTCTCTCTGCCCTTCCACCCTCCAGCCCTGCTGGACTCTGTCTGCTGCCAGGGATGGCCCCACGCGGGCCACTGACCCAGGGAGCCATCAGGACACCACCATGCTCCCATGGATCCCAGCGGCTCTGCACCCACCGGCCTGGGACCTCCCTGCTTCCCCCTGCACCCTTCTGACTTACCGACCTGCACCTACAGGAGGCTGGAGAGGCCTCTGGTCAGCCTCAGGCCCACAGGCTTGCGCTGGGCTGAGCTGGGACTCCTTCTTGATAGGAAATGACGGCTCAATACCAAGTTATTTCTTATATGCTATGTTGCCGGTTTTGTTTCTCTGGACAGCCCAGCCTGACTCCGGGAGGATGGAAGGACTGGCATGTCTCTTCCACACCCACATGCCAGGGATCTGGAGGGAGCAGCTCTTCATGGGGTCCCACCTGCCCCGCCACCCTCGGTCACCAACTCAGACGTGGTCAGGTGGTGAGGTGCCAGTTCGAGGGCCCCACAGCCTCTTCCTTTCCCCATCTCCCAGCCCCAAATCCAGGAGAAAGCACACTTGGACCCAGGAAGTTCCTCCTTGAGTCTCACCTGAGTGCCTCCTGCTGCAGAAAGAGGCTCCCTGCTCCACCCAGCGACTCCTGCTGCACCTGCCCTCCGCCTCTGCAGGCCCACTCCCCACAGCAGCTTTGCTCTGGAGTGGGCTGGATGCTACCAGACTTGTTCCAGAACCTTCCACCAACCAGAAATGCTCCTCCTAGCCCAGCTCTACCCACCCCACTGTCCTCTTCTCCTGAGCTGGGACACGCGGGACCTCCTAGGGCCTCTGGAGACCCCTCGGCAGGCTTGCTTGTGTGGGAGTCCCAGGAGACTGGCCAGCTGGTACTCGCCGGGCCAGAGATCCCCAAGCGGCCCTCTCCCACAGACAGCCTCTGCCGGGGCGTCCTCCCTCCCTCAGGAGGGAGGGAGGTTCTGGGTCACTGGCATGAGGGGCCCTCCCTCCTGAGGGAGCACCAAGGACCCCCATGCAGCTGAAGTCGGGGTGACCCGGGGACTCTGTTGTCCACTCCAGGGGCCGGGGACCCCACCTGCAGGGCCTACTCTGGGCACCACAGTCCCCACCAGGCTGTCTCAGCAGGGGGTGAGACCCTGGGGAGGGGGTGACTCCATCCTCAGCTCTGCCTCAGACCACCCTTGGCCTTGGGCGAGGCCTCCCCACCGGTGTGCGGGCACAGGGATGCTTCCTGTGCTCCTTCCGGCCCGCCGGAGTGGCGGGCTCCCGGGGTGTTCTTCAGGCCCTAAAAATAACCAGGAGGGGGGCATACAGCCCTCAGCAGCGGAGTGTGCCAGTCAACGCCCGCTCGGTGGAAGCACTGCCAAATAAGGCCTTGCCGAGTCGGAAGCCAGCAGCGTCAGTCAGGCTTCCTTCGTCAGCCGGGGCTCCAGAACCCTCTCCTGGGGAGGGCGGAGGCTCACCCCAGATGCCCCGGCAGGAGAAGCATCAGGCCTGAGAGCTAGCCTCACAGTCCAGAAACTTATGGACACATTCCACTGGACAGAAAATCGAAACGGTCACCCTCAGACCACCCCTACCCCCAGAACTCAGAGGGGCACCTGAGGCCCTCACCCTGCACCCCAATCCCTGCCCCCCCCCCCCAGAGCAGAAGCCCCCACTGGGGCTCTGGGAGGTGGTGGCGTGCTGCTGGGCTCAATATGGTTCTGTGGGAGCACCATATGGCTCCTACCGTCATCGCCACCGCCACCACTGCCGGACTTCCTGGGGAGGCAGGCTGGGGGAGGGGGGCTCCAGGGATCTCTCATGCTCAGGACCTGGGAGAGCGGGGACCCTCCACTGTTCTCCATTGGCCCCCGTGCCCCACCCTCTCACCCCTCTAGTTCCTGTGGGAGCCAGGACACTGCCTTAAAGAGGAGGCCACCGAGGGCCACTAGACCCTCCAAGGGACATCACTGGGGTGTCCAAGATGAGCAGGACAGGGGAGGTCGCTCTTATCCTAGGAGGGGCTCCTAACAAGGCCCAGCCCTAAAAATGCAGGCCAGGGGAGCCCAGCTGGCGCCTGACACCTCCCCCCACTTCCTGGGCTAGGCCAGGCACTCCAGGTGTGGGGGGACTCAGGTCCTGAAGCAGGGGACTGACCACCCCTAGTGGTGTGGGCAGGTAAGTGTGTGACAACATCATGAGGCAGTGGCTGGGTGGTGCCCTGGTGATGCCCCAGTTTCCAACCCCCTCTCCCCTCTCAGACCCCAGGCTGTCCCTGAGTCAGCTCTGCCAGCCGCTCTCCACCCACCCCTACACACACACACACACACACACACACACACACACACACACACACACCCCGCCCGGTCTTCCTGCTCACACACCCACAGGCACGGTGTGGCACTGTTGCTCTCGCCTGGACAGGGACGGTCAGCTTGTCCCCCACAGTGGGCACTGCCCAGGGCTCCGTGTCCCCACATCCTTGCCCACAGTGCCCCCCTCCCCCGCTCTTTGCTGCTGCTCCCAGAATTCCTGGGCCTGACCATCACGCCCCCTGGGCAGCGAGGACAACTCTTCGTGAGAGAGTCCCAACTGAGAACCACCGTGCAGCTGGCTCGGGACGCAGGGCGGGCGCTGTTGGCACTCAGGGTCTCTGTGAGCCAGCATCTGGCAACAGCAGCGGCCACTGCGCCCACGCCACCAGGCGGGGTCACACGCTCAGCGGCCCCCACTCGGCCTCTACAAGCACGTCCCTTCCCACCGCAGACATCTGCTGGCTTCCTCCTGGGGACAAGTCCGTGCGCTTGATACAGGCCAAGGTTGCCCTGCCTTGTTTGGTTCCTCCTATTCCATTTATTTTATTTATCCTTTGACTTTCCCTGCTGTATCCTCCCCCTCTCTCCCATGCACAAAGGGGTCTGCCAAGTGTGTGGGATCACCATGAGGGAGGGGGGCTCCTCACGCTGACCACAGGTCGTGTGAGCAGATAAAGGATTTGCCTGCTCACCAGAAGGCTGGTGACTCCGGTCCCCCACAGGGACGTCTGACCCTGGAACCACAGCACCTGGCAGCCCCGGGGCACAGGCCCCCTCTGGCACACAGGGAGCCCGGTCAGAGTCCCTGTTGGCATGTCTACTGTTACTTCATGCCACTCCGATGTCCCCTTGTTTGGGTGCATCAGGGATTCGCTGCGGTGCAGCCAGGAAGGTCTCTGTCTGCCCTCCGATTTTGTGGGAGGAGAAAGTCGAGGATGAGCCTCTGCACGGGGGTCCCCAGGACCCCATCGGTAGAATCGCCCCCTTCCCTCTGCCGGCCACACCTTCATGGAGAGACAAACACTGGGAGGCGATTGTCCCAGGACTCCCACGTGCTGGCCCAGAGGGGCCGGCAGGGGTGCGTGAGACAGGGGCTCCGAGTTCAGGATGCTGGCTCAGGGGAGGGCTCGCTCCGGAGGAAGGATTGGCCCTCCTTGGCTTCCTGTGCTCTGCCCGTCGCACGCCCGGGCACCTCTCTTCTCCCCTCTCTGCTTTTCCGGCTCCTGTGCTGAATCTGCTTGCTCGGGGATGAAAGGCCTCTGACAGGCTCTATTGTTCACTGGAGAAAAGGGGCTAACCAGACTTTGGGGGGATGACTGGACACTGGTTCTGAATCCACACGAATTCCAGGATTGATATTGCCTATATAAGGGAGGTGAAGAAGAGTGTGTTTGGAATCCCAGAGATTCCTTAGACGGTCTTTCAGCACCGCCGTGCCCTGGGATTAAAATCAACGGTCCGGTCCGTTATGATGACTCCTGGCCCAGACTCTCCAGGAAGGAAGGTTTGGGTCAGCCGGCCGAGGTGCTGGCGGAGAGCAAGGGGGACATCGGGTGGTGGACCACCAGATTCGGTTATCGAAAGGAGCAATCTGGCTGCCGGGCTGTTGCTGCCTCGGACGGAGGCTTCAGACGTGTTTGGTTCATTAACCGTGTAAGCTGTAAAGGGCAGGGGGAGCTCAGGTGGTGTCGTGGTTACGAGTTGGGTTGCAATCCGGACGGTCGGCTGTTCGAAATCCCCAGCGGGAAAAGGACTGAGTTTTCTAGGCCTGTGAACAGAAACCCCCAGACAGTCGGTTCGAGTCAGCATTGGCTCAGCGGCAGCGAGCAAATGGGGTTGGTGCGTGTTTACTTCCACGGATGTCAGTGGTGTCACATGAGGCACAAGAAGGACCTTATTGTCATTGTGTTTGAGACTGCGTGTGGTTTAAGGAGATGGGGACAGGTGCCACATTGACAAGGGGCGGACCGCGACGGTTGTGTTCTGCATTAACTCGGCTGGCCCAGGACTCCCAGGGGGTTGGCAGTTAAGACCTAGTCATGCCCATCAATGCGACTTAACACAATGTTACCAACTCTACTGAGGAGACCTTCGGAGAGTCGCCCATCTGCTGTAGAAGATTAGGGTGGAATGCAACCGCTTGCTCAGGTCACAGCCCACCTATGAGTGAGAGGGCCTTCTCTCAGGAGCAGCGCCTGCTTCCTAGACTAGTGGATGCCGCGGGAAAGCTGGCTCGCGTTTTGCGGGGTCTGGATCCTGCATCTGGCTCCTCTACCACTGGTTCGTTGGACTCCAGGCAACAGTCCGCCTGCCAGTCCTGGGAGCCATCGGCGGCCTGTCCCCTACTGACCTTGGCTTCATTCGCCTCGTTGGTCACCCCACCTCCACCTCCTGGCCATGGTGGATTCATCCTCCTCCGTGGCCACTAGGCCTGTGATGTTCCATGCCCATCTGGGGTTTGTCAGCCCCCAAGGTTATGGGAGCCCCAGGCAACCTCCAGCCCAGCGTGTGGCCTGCCTGGACTCGGATCAGACTTGCTTCTCCTACACCCGTGTGGGCTGCTTTCTAGAGACATATTTCTCTTCTCTCCACAGAAATGTCACTGGTTTTGCGTCCTCACCTAGAAAAACTCTCCGGCCCTCTACCCGCCGCCCAGTTCCAGAGCCACTTCCAGCTGCACCCCACTCTTGCCGTGCCAAATTCTATCTTGGTCGTCTGGTGCTGCCAACACAGAAATAGCACCAGTGGGCAGCTTTGGCACAGAGACGTCCATCTCCTCCCAGTTTGGGAGGCCAGGTGCCAGCTCTGGGGGACAAGGGAGGTCCTCGTCTCTCCCAAGCTCCTGGGTGATCTCCACCTGGTGTGTCTCCGTCCCCCCATCTCTGCTGTTCTTGGTGGCTTATTCAGACTCTCCGGTGCCAAGGAGAGATGGCCTGAAACACTCCTTACACCAACCCTGCCTCGCCAACGCAACCAAGATCAAAAACACACCCCTGCCTTCCTTTAGATCCAGGGAGACCCCCGGGACAGAGCAGAGGGTTTCCAAGAGGGCAGTCATTAAGGAAGCCAGGGGCCACATCGGTGGGCCCAAGCTTTCGTTGACGAGCCGGGCCCTTGCTGAACCCACACGACAAACACAGAAGGGCCAACAGCCACTGGCGGGGGTGTGCGCACGGGCACCGTGGGAGCCTTACACCCAGGTTGAGCTTCCGTACGCTCCGCCTCCACTGAGCCCCTTCTCGCTGTTACCAGGCAGCATGGAACGCTGTGGGCTGCGGTGATGCCCTGGCCTGGCCCAGGGAGGGGCAGCCTCGCCTCAGGAACTGGCCTGGCCTGGCCTTGCCGGGGGATGGAGCCATGCCGCCTGACCTCTTAAGCTTTTCTACCTGCAGTTATACCTGTGACCCCACCACGGTCCCTTCCGCCACCTCTGTGTCATGGCCAGCTGACTCTTGACACCAGGACAAGTGCCTATGTCCTCCACCCACTCCACCCCCGTTTCAGCAGCCTCTTGACTGTGGGCCCCTGGGCCCCATGACACCTTTGTGCCCCTCATCCACATGGCCGGCCCTGCCTTTATCTGTCTTTGTCCTGTCCAGGCCTCCTAAAGGGTCTCCGTGGATTAGATTTCAAGGTAGGGGTCTCTCTTCCCCCTGAAACACAAGTGGGGGGTTTCAACACAAAGTCGGGGCCAACGTGATTCTGCCCCTACCACGGTCCCCCGGCGGGGGGAGAGAGGGGTGAGCTCCCCATCAGGTATCTCTGGCGTGTACGACGTGTGTTTGCAGCGTCGTACCTGAGAGGGCCCATGCCTCCCCGGCGCGACCCAGG